AGAAATGCTTTTAAGTGTGTTATGGCTTATTCACTTTTGGGCTGACCTTAGGCTCATCTTTAAACACTGTATCCGCACGCTCGTTTGCCGCGTGGACCCCATTCGTTGACTCTTTTAAAATAATTAAATAAAGTCAAAATAATGATCACCACCATCACCATCCGCCCATCACTGCCGCCTGCCGCCGCCGCCGCCACCACCTCATCCTCCCCTCTCCACTCACCTCCTACTTTTAATTTGGCGGTATTTGATTTTTAGATCATAGCTTTCTGAATTTAATCTGATGGCTTTAGTCATTGATATTGACTCTCCCACTATGATAAATAGAAACTTTCTTCTCAATAAAGGAGGAAAAAAAAATCTTTATTTACTTTGAATTCCATTATTTTTTAAGAGTGGTGCTATGTGTACACACAATTTTTCACATAATGTTTTACACCTCCCTCACATGGAGGGGGGCCCACGATTATTTTATTATGTGTGGGGCCCCCTCGATATGAGGGGCGTGTAAAACATTGTGTAAAAAATTGTGTACACATAGCTTTATTCAAGTTCCTAAGTGTAATGTCACTAAACTTAAAAGGTATTTTCAGTAGTCACTCAACTTCAAATCGTGTTACTCGTTAGTGTCTCTTTTGAATTGCATTTCAAAAAGTTAATAGACACGTCCACGCAACACATGGAATTCACGGTCAAATAATGCCATCCTGGCCAAGTCGAATTTGAAAACACATTCTTGCAAAATAAAATGACAGCTTTTCTACCATTTAAAAATGATATCCCCAAATTCACACCCCAATCCATACATCCCGAAGTCATGCCCTTTGGGTGAAACTGGTAAGAGAGGAATGGTCCTCAGTGCAGAGGATTGCAAGGAAAGGAAGATTATCCTCAACACTTTCGTCTATTTGTTTTCTTATTTATGCAGAACACTGAGAACCAACACTCCAAACTTTGTCGAGACTCGAGATACGTTAAAATGACATAGTCATATGTAGTCTTGTTCTTACCCATTGGAGTTGAGAGAGATTTTTGGACATTTTGAACTTCACATAATTGGAGTCCCATACCCAATAATTCTTTTCGAATGAAGTTTGTAGCATCAATCAGTTTTTGGTCTGATCTCAATCCCTTGAACAATGAGACCACTCTTCCAGTTCCCACCCTTCGTCTCTGTCAAACTTATTTCCATATTCAAATCTTGTTCTCCGTCTACGAAAAACTCTCCCAACTCAACTTCCATCCACTTATCCGCTCTAGCCTGGGGGTATTCGGTAATGCGCTCCGAGGACAAATCGCCTTGCCGTCTATATATACGATCCATTCTGTGATTGAGAAATATTTGCCTAGGTACAATCTGGTACTTGTGCTTTCGTTGTCCCTCTGGATCTAAACACACAGTTCGTTTTACACCAACCTGCCCACTAATTCCAACTGTAGCCTCGGCAGGTTGGTACTCAAAACCGTATATTCCTGATTTTGAAGAGAACACAAGGTAAGCTGTATACGTAGTTCCTGAAGACAGCATACTAGTGTTTATATTGCAACGAATTTCAAACCAACACACATCAAGAAGCTCCGCCACCTCGGGAAATCTGAAACAAATGTGCAATGAAACCATCAGCATTCTAAATACTTAATAGAAAGACAAGATATTTGTAGTTCTTATCGGGACATGCTCTGAAATTTTGGATGTCATGTAGAACATTTTAAAATGTTGTCCATTTCATGAAATTTTAAAAAAAAAATCAATAATATTATATGATCGCAAAGTTTCGATATTTAAATGCTTTTTATTTTTTTAAAATGTCGTGAATAAGAAAAGTAAAAATAAAGTTCAAATGCACTTTCCAAACTTCATCAAAATTTATGTCATCAACAAAGAACCATTCAAGCCACTAAACTCTTTGTATAATTCCTATGTGCAAATCTTGAAATCGGAAACATCAAATATCACGTGTAAACTGTGAAATGCAACAAATCATGTAAAAATATTTCTTCTCGCATTTCTAAAAGCTAACTCACTAATTAAACTTTCGTAATCAATATGTTTTAACAAATCTTGTTCAATGGATATTAAAGGTAGGCTATTCAATCTTTCCTGTAACATGGTTAACTGTAAAATAAGATTTTAATAACTTCAATTTTGAAAAACTTCTTTCGACAGATGTAACAATAGCATTAATTGTTAGTAATAATTTATAAGCAATAAATATATTCGTAAGGCTATCTAATCTTTCCAAATAAGTCAATATCAAAAGCTGTTTTTTGTTTCTTTTTTTAAAAGATTTTGCAAAATTTTTAACTCTTGAACAAATTTTTGACATCAAGATCGCAAAAATTTACATTTCTAAGAACAAAATGTCAAGATAATCATAGCATGCTTTAAAATTAGTATCATTCAATGTGTTTAACTTGTCGAAGAAAATAAAAATCCAAATTTTCTTCCATATGAATTGAATTGATAGAACCTTCGTTCAAGTGATCCAATTGTTTGATCTACTATATAAATGAAATAATTGGTTATGAAAGAATCTTCAAGTGATTGTGCGTCCTCTACAGTGGCATTTTCTTCAAAATGTTTCTTCTTACGAATTATATTTTTTCATCTTTTTTCTTTTCCCTCGCATTATTTAAAGTACGATACTATTTAAACATATTATATTCAAGAAAATTATAATTAGTCAATTAAATTATTTTTAGTTTTAGCATATTATATAATTGCATATCATATCAAGTTAAATGCCTATAGACATATTCAATAAATGAAAATAGTTAAGTACAACACACTGAAATTAATTATGAATGAACCTAAACCATCTAAATCATTCCCTTCATCCCTTGCTTTAATAAAAATGTCTTGGTATGATATGTAATTAAGAATAAGAAATACAACAATATTAAATAAAAATCATAATTTATCTATCTTTTAACTCTTTTTTCATAAAGATTGTGCATTTTAACTTAATATAATAATTAAAATTTTAAATTTTAAAATTATACACACACACACACACAAAAATAGCAAAAAAAAAAATTGGTGTCTCTAAAATGATGAGGCTCTATGCGGTCGCTCAACTTGCGCACCCTTAGCGCCGCCTCTGGTTCTTATGCATGATGACTGTAGTACCTGGACTCAGGAAGAGAGATCCATTGCCAATATTCAGGCGTATCACCCCACACAATGAAGAGGTCCCTTGCAGCCACCATAAAGCACTTCTTTCCTGTCCCTTTCTCCAATGAAAAGCTCTGCAATAATAGAGAAGCATTAGGATGCATCCCCAACAAGAATAAATGAAATCATGGGCATGATAAATTTCCTCAATATCGAAATGTAAAGACACAAGTGACAACTATAAGCAAGGCGTCAGTAGAGAGACACCATCACAAGCCTTCAGTTGATTTTTACCTTGGTTCGAAACTGGGCATTAGAGTTTAGAGGCAGGGAACTATTTCTTGTTACAAAACATAAATTCGGGTTGACACCAATATCTCAAAGTTATAACAACGGAACAAGTTTAATCATAAGGACAATACTAAAATTCATTATTCTACTAAATGAAAATTAAACCTCTGTTTGTCGCTCATTAGTAGAAAAAAATCGTTGGAAAAGTGGCCCTGCCTACCATTTTTGACCATTTGTGTCTTGTTTGGACCACCAACTTTTAAAAAAAGGTCCTACTTTTTCTATTAATGGGAAAAGAAGTTGAAACGAATATAGGCTAAAACTTAACCTATGTATATTCTTGTCCATTATAACATAAAGTTCAAGTAATAGATATTCTTGGAATATGTAAAGTTACTCTACCCATTTCGCAGACAATTACATAAAGAGCAGCATAGAATCACATAAAGAGCAATCGACTGGTACAATCTGATTGGTATTTAAGGTATGTTTGAGTCACATTATTTTGAAAAAATGTATTTTGAAATAGTAGATTGATGGAGAATGTGTGATTAAAAAAGAAGGAAAAGTTATCGATGTGATGGAAAATATTATTTTATTAAAAAATGTGTCGTTAAAAATGAGTAGAAAATGCGAATGAAAATTTTAATATGGTTCAAACGGGGACTTATTTGTTCTTTCTGTTTACATTTCGATTTACCTCAACCAGACGCTGATGGTTATTCTTTAGAAAAGAATGTATTTTAAATAGTGATATAATGAAAAATATGTGATTAAAAAGTAAAAAAAAAATATTGATTTAATGAAAAATATTATTTTATTGAAAAATATGTGATTAAAAATGAGTCCAAACAATTAATCCAGGTAAATCTGTTTGATTGATATTCAATAAAATACAAGGAAATTATACCTTGATGCCACCGTCGATAACGATCGGGTTGTCGCAGAGGTGGAAATAAAGCTCTTTCTTGGATCGAAATTTAGAGAGGAACAAATCACCATCGTCAATTAAGCGTAAAATGATATCACCATAATCAGGCGGTAAAAACCGCTCCCAAACGGCGTCGGATTCTGCAGCTGACCTGAATGTCGTAGACACCATTGACAGGCGGCAGGCGTCCTTGGGGGTGGTCAGCGACAGCGCGGTGGCTATACAACCCTCCGGCAGCTCTTGGAAATTCTCAACCGACATCGTATTTATCTGTGTGTATAAGATAATTGATTTAGAGATGTGTAGAAGGATATTTATATAGGCACCGAGAGTTGAAAAGTGCTTTCTGCTGTCTTTTTCTCAAATCTTTCCATAAATAAAATAATGCCCAGGTTTGGACCGCTGAAATGAAATTTCGAGAGAAAATGTCATTTGAAATAGCGAATTTCTGGCAAATATGTTATCAAACGTAGGATAGTTTTTAAGTTTATGTGGAAAATATTTTATTATGAAAATGTGTGATTAAAAATAAATTAAAAAAAAAAAGAGTTTTAAAACAACGATAGACAAATAGTGGCTTTGTAGAAAAATGTATTGTTAAAAATAAATTATAAAAAAGGAAAAAAATCATGTATAAGAGATTAAGAATGACACATTTCAAAACCAAGAAATAAACTTTAAAATTTCAAAAATCAGATTTTTTTTAAAATTTTATTTATAGACTAATTTATTAAACACATATTTTATTAATTAAATATATTAAAGTCACAATTTCATACAATTTGATCATAAATTATAAATTAATTGATTATAAATTATTTCTCGATTACAATAAAAAAAATTTATGACACAAAAAATTTTATAGATCGCAATTTATTCATCGATCACAAATTTGGCAAATTAATAAGTCACATATTATTGGCTGATCACAAATCACAAATTTTACAAGTAACAATTTATTTTATGGCCGTAAAATATCTAATTAATTAGTCACAAATTAATTTTCGATCACAAANAATATCTAATTAATTAGTCACAAATTAATTTTCGATCACAAATCAAAAAATTTATAAGTAAAAGATTATTTCTCGATCACAAATAAAATTTTTTATAGGTTACGATTTATTTATCAGTCACAAAACCAAAACTTTTATTAGTCAAATCTCATTTATTCATTGCAAATTATCAAATTAATTGATTACAATTAATTTCTCAATCACAATTTAATAAATTGTGAGTCACAATCACAATTTTTAGGTCACATATTATTTATTAGTCATAAATTAACTAATAATTCGTCACAATTAATTAAATAATTGATCACAAACACCCCATCTCATCCCACCTACGACCGTCGCCACGACAACCATCATCACCATTACCTTACACCATAGCAACGCAAAACCACCACTATAGTAGCACAAACCCACCATCAAAATAATGCAAAACAACCACCAGATCGCGTCACCCATGCCATCCCACACAAACCATCACCGCCAATTATAGGTCACCTAACAAAAAAAAAAAAATAGGGGGGAAAAAGAACTGCACACCACCACACCAACCAAAAAACAACCCACGATAAATTGAATCAAAAACCAAAAAGGCTCCCAAAAAAATCAAGGCAGCACTGCAGATTCTGTAGTAACAGTAGTACCGCCTCGCTGCGGGTAGCTGCGCTATCCGTAGCGAGGTACCACTGCTAGTAGCCAGGACTCCAAGGCAATTGCGCAGCTTCGACAACAGCAACGTCGTCTCGCTACACGCAACAATGCATCGCTACGCATGTCGCCTTGTCGTCATTGAATGTGGGGTGGATTTGATGCCAAATGAAGGGGTGGTGCTGCGCCACAATAGTTAGGCGTGTGGAAGGTAGAGAGACTAAGAAGAGGGAGAGGAGAGGGAGTGATTTTTAGGGTTTGGGAAAATTGATTGGGGTTTAGGATGAAAATTGTATATGTAATATTTAAATATAAAATATCTGATTTGTGAAAAAATGTATTTTTGAAAAAATAGAACCCTAATAGGGACCATTTATTTTATAATTCATAATTTTTTTTATCAATTCTTAAACAATAACTTCCATTAATTTTATCGAAATTTACTAAATTTTTTATTGAAAAGTTTGTTAAAGAGATCCTTAATTCGTGAAATTCATGTCTAGTCTCTTAACTCCTAATAAAATTTAAAAAACATTAAATCAAGACCTCTTAAACGGGATGAAAGGTCACATTATTAAATGTTAATGACTTTTATAAAATTATTTGCTCTTGTTTGGGCTCCATTTTAATTAAGTTTTGAAAGAAAAAAAAATTCTAGAATAATATTTTTTTAAAGAATGTATGGTTAAAAATAAATTAATTTACATGTAATATTATTTTATTGAAGAATGTACGATTAAAAAAATGAAAGAAAAATGTATTAAAATTAAAATGGGGCCCAAACATGGACAAATACAAAATTTCATAAAAAATATCTCATTTACAAATTTATTAAAAAGCCTCTCCTAAAAAGTGTCTCGTTTACAAAATTTCATAAAAAGTCTCATATTAGAAATGTATTTTATGCACATATTTTTAAACAGAAAGTCCAAATATAAAATTTCCGCCGTTGTTTGAGCCCCATTATGTGGTATTAATAGATTTTAGAATAATAATTTTTTTGAAAAATATGTGGTTAAAAAGTAGAAAAAAGTTTAGGTTTACATACAGAATATTTTATTCTACGAATATGTGGTTCAAAATGAGGTTCAAAAAAATGAGTTTTGAGAAAATGGTATCTCATTTACAATAGAGATTTTGAAACTTTCACACAAAAAAAAAAAAAAGAAAAGAAAAGAAAAAATATCATTTAATCTGTAATATTTAAAAAAAATCTTATAATGAAATTTTTATTTATTTTTTTTTCAGTATTTCTCATTTATGTTTAGCCCCTTTTTGACAACATGAGTGTTTTTTTTGGAAAATAGATTTTGGAATAGTGATTTTTTAAGATAATATGTCATTAAAAAATAGGAAAAGTTTAAATTTACGTACAGAATATTTTGTTGTGAGAATATGATTCAAAATGAGTTTGAGAAAAAAAGAATTATCTTTTGGGGCTCAATTCTACGAACATTAAAGTTATGATATATAAGCCAATATTTTTTTCTCTCCCTTCGACCTACTGTTTTTATTCTTATTTCCTTCTTTCCCTCCCTTCTTTCTTATTATTCTCTCCTTTTATCTATGAAAAGATCAATTAGCAAATAAAAAACCATATAAGATTTCTCTCTCTTTTTCATCGTTCCTGTCAATTCTTTCAAGGAAAAATGTCAATTTTGAACTAAAATTTTATATAAATTTTAACTAAAGTTTTATTTATTGGTTGTTTATTTAATTTAATAACTTTCTTCAAGTTTGACATATTGATATTATTGAACATTGGAGAATTTTTAAATCAAAGAGTAATGAATGTTATACTTTTTTATTTTTATTTTGGTATTTTTTCTTGACACAAGAAATATAATTCTATTATTGTGTTCTAGACATTTGGTCATTCAAGTAGAAATCAAAAGAATAATAAAGACAAGAAATATAGTAAATGAATTAAGAGATTTTATTGATTCAAAAATAATGGAAAAAAGAGAAAATTATAATAGATCATATAATTATAATAATCTATTTTCTCACAATTATAAAAATTGTATCTAAAAGCCTAATATTTATAGAAAACATGTAGGGGATGTCAAAATCCTATTAGTAGAGTTGTTGAGGAAATAAGATGTCAAAAAATCGAGTTCAAAACGAAAAAGAAGAGAAAAACGCGAAAAATTCTTCAAGTCTAATACCAATTTCCAACTTTCAATGAATTTCAAAATAGAACTTCAACTTAATATAGGATTCCAATAGAATTCCAAACTTGAATTCTCCTTGACGTGTACTTTAATTAGAATTCTTCAATACTTCAAACAATAAATTTGAGTCACGGTCAAATTCTATAATTAAATAATTAAAGAGACTTGAATGAAAATATTTTAATTCAGTACTGCCACTCAAAAATCTACGGAGGGAAAGGGACGAGCCTCTTTGGCACCGCCCATCCATACTGTCATTCTACACAATACGCATGTGATGTCCAAATGAAAGGAAAAATCACCATAAAGAGAAATACTTGTTTGAGCCTCATTTTGAAAGAAAAATATACATTTTTGAATAGTAATTTCTAAAAAAATTTGTGGTTAAAAATTAAGAAAATTTCAATTTATGTGTAATATTATTTTATTATGGAATGTGTGGTTGAAAATGGGTATCAAACAACCCATAATGTCATTTAAATGTACTCCATTTGATTTTTGAAGTAAAAAGAAATATTTATTGAACTCATCTATCCTTTGAGTCGGTCATCACATCCACATTGCATGGATATTTAACATTTAATACATTTCTGAAAGGTGGGAATACATATACTCATTATTTTGACTCTTCATTTTGTTTACCTCAAGGAATATTTATTGATTTTTCTCATATTTTATTTAAAATATTTTTTTACACGTCAATGATCAATTAATTTAAGTGTGGCTTGAATAATATAATAAGTAGAGTATTAAAATACATGACTTATTAAATGTAATCATTGTACATTAATAACACTCTCTAAATTTGGAGAGTCGGACCCACTCTCTTTTTGAAAAAGTCAAAATCGAGAGTCTCTTAGAACTTATTTTTAAGCATTAGAATTTAGAGGTATTTTCAAGAAACTCTTTATTTATAAAGAGCATTTTATGTATTATAGAAAGCATCTTTAAATTTAGAAAATCAATTTTTTCATACATTCCAACAAACTCTTTATTTTAACTCTTCGTTTTGTTTTTCTCAAGAAATATTTATTGATTTATCTTCATATTTTATTTACGATAATTTTTTATATATTAATTGACCAATCGATTTAAATGTGAAACTCATTTTTAAGTATTGGCTCTTTAAAATAAAGAACATATTGAATTTAGAGAGTCTTTTGAAGATATTCTAACTCTTTAAAATAAATAGTATTTTATATTTAGAGAGTATCTAGAAAATGCTCTTAAAGAAATGTTTTACCTAATTCTGTTAATTAGTCAACTTAAAAATATTGAGTTTAGGAGACTAAACACATTAAATTTCATTTAAATTAATTGTAAGTATTCAATAATTAATTTATTAATCCAATTGTGTGAAAAGTAGAAATTTGATAAACTTGAACTCCTCAATTAAAATAGATAATGGAATGGAAGCTAAACTAGT